AGTCCTTAAAAAGGTGTTTTTTTGTTTGTTTTTAGTTTTTTTTTTTTTTTTTTTTTTTTTTTTTTTTTTTTTTTGTTGGATATTTGTTGTAAACGGTTTCTTTACAAGAAAGACGTGAGAAAATAAGCCATCATAGGATGTCTTAGGTTGGAAAGGGACCTTATGACCTGTTCCAACCCTCTACCATGACTAGCAGTGTGCCCAGGTGGCCAAGAAGGCCAATGGCATCCTGGCTTTTACCAGTAATGGAGTGGTGAGCAGGACCAGGGAAGTCATCCTGCCTTGTACTCAGCACTGGTGAGGCCTCACCTTGAGTGCTGTGTTCAGTTTTGGGCACCTGAGTACAGAAAGGACACGGAGGTGCTGGAGCAGGTCCAGAGAAGGGCAACAGGGCTGGGGAAGGGCTTGGAGAATATGGCCTGTGAGGAGAGACTGAAGGAACTGGGGCTGTTCAGTCTGGGGGAATGGAGGCTGAGGGGAGGCATTAATTGCTCTCTTCCAATATCTGAAAGGTGCTTACAGTGAGAGTGGGGTTGGTCTCTTCTCGCTGGTGACAGGTGACAGAACGAGAGGAAATGGCCTCAAGTTGTGCCAGAGGAGGTTTAGGTTGGATATCAGCAAAACCTTCTTTACAGAAAGGGTTGTTAAGCACTGGAATGGGCTGTCCAGGGAGGTGGTTGAGTTGCCATCCCTGGATGTGTTTAAGAACCATTTGGATGTGGTGCTCAGGGACATGATTTAGCAGAGGGTTGTTAGGGTAGTACATATATGTATAGGTTGTGGCTGGACTTGATGATCTTTAAGGTCTTTTCCAACTAGAGCAATTCTATGATTCTATCTGCACAGTTGCTACCTACCGGCTCAGGCTGCCTAGGGTCCCATTCAGCCTGGCCTTTGAGTGTTTCCAGTGATCTGGGCAGCCTGCACCAGGTCTTCATTGTCACCTGAGTAAAGAATTTCCTCTTAACATCAAATTTAAATCTCCCCTCTTTTAGTTCACAACCATTCAGCCTCGTCCTATTCCCATAAGACTACATATGAAGTTGCTATTTCTCCTGTTTATAAGCTTCTTTTAAGTATTTTAGTACCTCAGTGGGGTCTCTCTGGGCTGAACAAGCCCTGCTCCCCAATCTTTCTTCGTAGGAGATGTGCACTACATCTCCAATAATATTTGTGGCCCTCCTCTGGACCTGCTCCTATGACTCCACATCTGTCTTGTGCTGGTGGCTCCAGGCCTTCATACAGTACTCCAGATGGGGCTTGTCTAAGTCAGACTAGTTTGAAGTTGGTTAGAATTTTATATATGCAAATATATGTATTGTTTTGGATTAGTTAATGGTATAAAGTGGAGGCATTTATGAAATGTTTCATAACAAATTAATACAGATTTTTCTTAGAGCAAAAAGCTTGCTTGTTTATTGATGTATGTAATAGGTATATGCTGACACATAGAAATACCAGTATAAGTATCAATATAATGGAAGCAGTTTTCTCTCAACTGAAAGTAGTAGTTTTGCATTCAGGTATCGTATTCAATTATAGTGCTAAAATGAAGCCCCCAAGTGAAATCTTGAATCAGTTTCTACTTCCACGGCAGTGTATAGTACTGTATGTTGTTTAGTCACCACGTACCTTAATAATTCAGAACAGCTGTCATTTTGAGATCTCTATCTACCAATTCAGAAATTATGAACTTTGTTCTCAAACTGCTGCAATTCCATTGCTCCAAACAAGTTCATTAATTCTGCAATGCGTGTACATGTCCAGTGCTATGAAGTACTCTTGGACTTTGCAAGACAAAATTTCATTGGACATTGTCAGGGTTTTATAATTTTTGGTAATCCATGTTCCACATCATAATGTAGTCAGGGGGAGTTAAGGTGTTAATGCTTCAGTTCTGGGTATATGTCCCAGAAGAGAAGATCAACTACATACCGCAGAGGACTTTGTGTTCAGAGGGAAGATGAAGTCCCTGGCAAGGTCATGAGGCCAAGCTCTCCTCCCTTCTGCTCATCCTGACTTCACATCTCACCTCAGCATTAGAGTAAAGTCTTCAGTTGTTGGACACCCTCTCTCATTTAATCTGATTTTTTAGCTTCAATTCTAATTATATTGTGTTATTTTGCATTGTGTTATCTTGCATTCTGATATCTTGTTTAGTCAATTATTTTGTTTCTCCTCAGATCATTGCCACTGTTTTTTTGGGGGGGCCCATCTCTCTACATTTTTTCCCTTGTTCCTTTTCAAGGCACAGATCTGCAGGCCCTCCACCCCACATGTCACAGAATTGGGTTGAATCAGCCAGTAAACTGTTGGCAGACATGAACAGTAGATGGAAGAAAATTGTATCTGCGTTAGTTTTAGTCAGTTAATCTCTGTTGCCTTTAAATAGTGACATATTGGCACAGGGATAAATATGTTCGAAAGCTCACTGGAAATTTTTTATTTTCCTCTAAATTTACAAATTTCAAATATGTTTGGTGCTTTTGAAAGTTCAGACCAGGCTGATATTGCTGAGTATGCCTGTTTCATCCATGTGCACAAAAATCAATCTAGCAGTTGTCTCAGCTTTGTGTTCAGAATGCTTTAAAATAATAGAGCAGAAGAATTTGTCATTTTAAAACCGAATTTCATGGTTACGTGCTTTTGTAGTAGATTTGTCTTCAAAAATTGATGGGATTTGTGCTGTATGGAAGAGCAAGGAGTCTAAGTTCAGTTGTCTTAGGTCTAATAATCCTGCAGTTGTGAGAAGAACTTGTGAGAAGTGATTTCTGCCATGGAAATGAAGAATGTAGATTATTACTGGTTAGGATGAATGTGTCCCAAGCTAGTGTTTTTACTCATTAGTTCTTTCAAGTAGAAAATAATCTAAGACTATCAAATTATGCATTGGTGTATATTCATTCCTAATTTTTCTATGGCGATGCAGCTTGACTGTGACGATGAGGAAGGTATTGGAAAGAGTAAGAGTAGAAAGAGGATATGTCATTTGGAGATCAAGTTCTTGTTTGCTTCAGAGGTTGGGCGTGTACGCTAAGAGAATAAAAAGTAACTGTGAAGGGCTGTATTTATTCCCACTTCTGGTGATATTTTAGGATTTTATACTTATCTGATGATACAGTTATGGTCTCAGACCTCTGATGTAATTGAAGCATTAGTAATTGTGAGTGGAAATTTTGTATTATTTTTCACTGTACTTTCCTGTGCAAAGAATTGCCTGTGCCATTCTGTGGCAGCAGAAGCTATACTAGTGATGTATTTCTATGCAATTGCCTTCTCCTGTTTTTCCTACAGAGCTACTGCTGGCCATACCACCTATTTTATGTGATGGCGCCAGCACACAAATGATAGGTAGTAGAAAGCTGTCTTTAGGAAACTAATGTGGACAACCCATTTTCATGTTGCATGAGCAGAGGAAGTTCAGGGCTGATGGCCTGCAGAACTGCTCTGCCTCTGCTTCAGCCCTCTTAAGCTCTGGTTGTTACCCAAATACAACTAGTTTCGTTGAGACTCTTTTGACTCTTTAGAGAAGCCATCCACTTCGTATATCAGTCTTGCTGTCCCACTGTGCTCTGTTCCTTGAACTGTCATCTTGCCACCACAGAAGTGTTGTTTTTGATGTTTTTTGTTTTGTTTCTATCTTCCCTGGGTTCCTGGGAATCCTTACCCAGCTCTAGTTATTGTTACACATCAACTTCTGTGTTTATTTTAAACTCTGGAGAATGCATCCTTTTGTTACATACAATAACACAATAAGCCGACGGTGATAATTCAATTTTAAGTTTAAAGAGATGATTTACTAAGGAAACATTCTTTATGATGGATAAACTTGATCTTGTTACTGTATGTTGTAGTTGATTATGATTAATTGAAAGTGAAAATGACTAGAAGTACACCTAGTCATGATAAAGAAATTAAATTTATTTTAGGCTGACCTATGCTAAGTCTAGTCAGGAAGTGGTTTAAAAAAAAAAAAAAAAAAGCTCTCATTTCCATTTATGTAACATAAATAGCTTTTTGGATAAAGCATAAAATTAAACAAAATGTAATTACTATCTCAAAACTACAAAGGATCTGTATATTTAATGTACTGGGAGGTAATCTTGACCAGGTCAGCAGTTACTGGAAAATGGCCTGTTTCTCAAATCTATTTCTAACTGGAAGCTCTCACTTCAGAAATCCAAAATATGATTCCATATTGTAGATGATCATCAGCTTGAAAAAAATTATACCAAAATGCAAAATTACTACAAGCAGACTTCACAGTATACTTAAAAGCAGTTTCTTTGCTTCTCTAATGTCAGTATTTCTTCTCGTGTTACTTAGTGTTACTTGATTGTATCTTCGGCTCTCCAGTCATGTTTATGCTTCCTAGTTACCTACATTCATATTGCTTTTATATGTAAATAAACCTTCTCACATAGGAATCCTCCATGGTAGGAAGAGAGCTTTGGATATACTTCTATTTAATTGTAATGCCTTATTTCAGTTCAGTTCATTTCTGCTGTTCCTTGGCTCGTGTTCTAGAGGTGTGCTTTTCTTCTTGAGTTTATGAATCTACATGCTTTTATTCCTTTAGTATGTTTTTCCAATTTTTTGTTTGTTGTTTTTAATAGCTTACACTCATCTGTGTACATGCTGAGTCTCACCAGTATTTTTTTTAACTTCAGAGTAAGTCTGCTTGCTTTTAAAAAGATTCGTAAAGAACTGAGTAGATAGAATTAAGTCTGTTTAATAAAACAATGTTGTCTGCTGTGATACTGTGAGTAAATTTTTTTGCATGTATTGTAGTATTAATATATGTACTTTCACTGTTTTTCTCTACCTCATTAAATTCCTAAGGTAGTCCTTATTGCAAAGTCTTGTAAATATTCATAGGAGCCTTAGAGTGCATTAAAAAAAAAAAAGCCTGTTGGCAAAACACGTATTTTATTTTGTCAGATGCTTTGTACGCTCTGTGACAGTCCTCCACATTTATTTATTTATTTATTTTTTTACAGGATACACGGGCCAAGATGGACATTTTAAGTCATGTGAAAACAAGTACTGTGGCCTGGGTAGGCACTGTGTCGTGAATGGGGAGAGCGGGCAGGCTGAGTGTGTCTGCATGGAACACTGCAAGCCACACTACAAACCCGTGTGTGGCTCGGATGGAGAGTTCTATGAAAACCACTGTGAGGTACACAGGGCTGCCTGCCTGAAGAAGCAGAAGGTCACCATTGTACACAATGAAGATTGCTTCTTCAAAGGTAAGTGGAGCTGATCAGTATCTGAAATATAGCTATTGGTTATGTGTTTTCAAGTAGTTCTGTAGGAGATGCATTGAAAGCATGGCAACTAGACGACTCAAAGTTATTTCACTCCGGAGACATTGTATGATTTTGCTTTTCATTTACACTTAGTGCTGTGATGACCTTCTCAAACCTGAATAAGCAAAGTGTTTCTTCAGAATCCATCACTGGCAGTATCTTAGGGGTGTGCAATTGACTGCATTCGTCTAAATGTCTTTACTGTCCCGAAGTCCAACATGTATTAACCTCTGATAGGAAGAAAGTCGTTTGAAACTGCAGAGGGGTTTGGTATGTCTACAGGTTTCTGTGCTTACAATTCATGTTGAAGTTGATGAGTAGGTAAACTGACAGGTTATTCGTGGCTAAATGCGTCTTGCTCACTTTGAATTTGGATGGTCAGTATCACTTGTATATTTACCAAAGCATGCAAGTTTGGATATGTTTTCATCTATGGAATGCTGAGAGATGGATTTTAGATCAAGAGGCTTATCATACTGAAGGTGTCAACAATTGCAGTTGCTGTGCTGTACGTACTTTACCCACACTTAGAAGGTTTCTGGAACTCTGCCTATATTGACCTTGATTAAATGCGTTTGCAGATTTGTAGTGTGCATTAAAACAAACAGGTAGCTTTTGGAAAATAATGCTTTTCAATGCTGCCAGCTTTAATGAGTCTACTGCAGGGTAGAATCATGTTTTTTTTCCTAAAGACTTCATTTTAAGTAGTCTAAATGATGTATTTGTCTCTAACATTGACAATGGGGGGGGGGGTCAGATCTTCATACCAGGTTGATTTCCGTGACAGGAAGAATGTTTCCTCAGAGATAAATTTTGAGTATTGAGTTCAAGATAAGAGAAGTTGGGAAGGAAGTCTTGTTCAAAGAAGTAACCTGGCCAGAAAAGTTTTTAATATTCCATGATGGGAAAATAAAATGTGTAAGCAAATATTCTATATACTTCATTAACATAATATATGTTGTAGTGTGTGTGTATGTGTGTGTGTATATATATAATATATATACCATGCACAATAATATATTAGAAGATACCACTGTTGAAATTACACATTTACTTGCTGAATAATTCATAGTGGCTCTTCAACATTGTGAGAGTTTTGTTTAAGAGTTGGAATATTATCCCTTTCAGAAACTTTCATGATGAATGGAGATAGAATATTGACTTGCGAAGTGAAAGAGGTCCTTCGGTTATATGTTGAAACTCACAGTGACATCACAGAGGATTTTGTCTTAGTGAATTGTAGATTTTTGCCTAGAGATGATCAGAAATTAGTTTTTCACTGCTCTTATTGTAATTTTCATCAGTTTTTTTTATTAGTGCGTTTGTAGTATGGAAGATAAACTTGCATCAAACACTGAACAGTTTTTTCCTATAATGCCTTGATTAGATGTTGAATGCGACTCTTTCAATTACTGAATATGCATTTTAATTTCTTCTAGTGTACAGGAAAAATGTGTTCTGCACAGTTCTTTTTTTATTTAGATTCCCTCCTGTGTTCTGCAGAGTAATTTTTTTTTAAGATCCACAGAAAACATGATCATGTTAGAAACATCTGTATTTTAGAGTTGTCCTGTTTTTTATTTTTACCTGTCAAGTTCCACTGCCCTGTATCTGGTTGTTTGTGAATCCTCAGCTGTTTAAAAATGTTTTCAAATATTTATTGAATATGGTTCCAAAAACTTAAGAATATGTTTTGGGAACTCCTTTGTGATCTAAGTAACGTGTTTTTCAAGAGTGATTTCAAATTATTGTTTCAACACTGACAGAAGTGAAGAAATGGGGAAGTGAACAACTGACTGGCTGCTAGTTTGGTTAGTCCTGGTGATTTTCATGTTTGTTATAGTTTAGTTTTTAATCATTCAATGGAGTATAGGGTAAGGATAGAGAAGGGGGGGGGAGAGGGCGGTATAGGGGGGGGGAAATGGAGGGCAGGTAACAAGGGAGTATATGAAAATGATGTTGTATGAGAAAACTGTGTCTAAAAAGACTAGGGATGTGATTGTCCCTCAGTGTCAGTGAGGGATGACACCTCAATAACTTGTTTGGTTGCGGACTTCTTGCTACAAGAAGTATTTGAATTGTTGGAATGTATTTAGAGAAGAAAAATTAAGGTGATGAAGGGACTTGAAAATGTGACTTTTGAGGAGTGTCTGAGGGAAGTGAGGCTGTTTTCGTCTGGGAAAAAGGAGATTGAAGGGAGACCTCAGCACTCCCTTCAACTACCAGAAAGGAGGTTGACAGAGGTAGGTGTCAGTCTTCTCTCAAGTGACAAGTATTAAGATACAACATAAGGTCTTCAAGTTACACCAGAGCTGGCTTAGATTGGATATTAGAAATAATTCCTTCATCAGTAGGGTGGTTATGCTTTGGAATGGTCTGCTCAGAGAAGAGGTGGAGTCACTATCCCCCCTGCAGGTATTTGAGATGCATGTGGATGCTGATAAGTGATGTGACTTAAAGGCCAACTTGATAGTGTTAGAGGGATAGTTGGACTTGATGGTCTTCATGTCTTTGCAATCCTAGATGAATCTATGGTTCTAAGAAAAGAGAGAAAGTATTGTGACGGTCAGTTTTTTGGTGGGAGGAGAAGGAGATAAGAATGATAAGAATTTAAGGAAATATTAGTGATAGAAATGCCAAGGTCGCAGATGATTCACTAGACCTAACATGGGTAGTGTGAGCTGGGATGAAGTCTGATATGCAGCATCAGTCTGCCATCTCTTCTGTTAGCTTGTTGATTACATAGTTCTGTTGCTGAGTGGTTTCCATGAGCTCTTTGCTTCTAATGTCTTTTGTGTCCTTGAGCCATGCATTTTGTGTTTCAGAGCAGCTTAATGTAAGGGGCAAAGTGGGATAGGTAGAAATAGGACCCTCAGGTTATTACCGATGTTAGCTTTAACTGGCACCAGTATTTGGTGAATAAAAAGGCCCACAACTGCTTTACTTGGTGCCTTTGTCATGTTCTTTGTTTCACAAGGTCTCAGCATGTGATCATAGCTTTCTGCCAAATTTAGAATGCTGTAGCCATTACTTCCTGGGAACACGTTCTCAAGAGGAACTGGATTTTGTACGGGACTGTGAACTACGTGAGTTCTGGTTTCACTAAATGGTGCAGTCTGGGGACTGAATGCCTCACACTGGATGTCAATTAGGCTTCAGTAATATCAGTAAAATCTTTGTGTTAACTTCATTTTCCTTTTTCTTAAATTCAGATCAGTAAAGCTAAACAGGAGACAAAAAACTTCGTGATACAATTCAAGTTATATTTCTTCACACAATGATCTTCTAGGAGTTTTTCTTATAAATTTTTTCTCTTTCACAACGATGCACTAAATCATTTTGACAAACTGCAGTTTACTAGAGTTCTCAGGACTGTAAGACATGCTTGTACATACCAGGACTTTTATAGAATATTTCTAGAGTAAAAGTTATTTCAGATATAAACTTTTACAATTAAGTGGTTTCTGTATCATCCTTCTGATGTTAACATTTTATTTTCCTTTCCGTTTTTCTTTCACTTTTCAGAAACTTCTGATCTGTTGAACTCTGTTAAGCTTCAATTTCTGCTACTACTACTAAAATGAGTAGGTTTCTGAGGAGTGTTATAATGCTTGCTACTCTGTTCGTAACTGACAAACAAGTAAAAGTAGAAGCTTAGGAAACTAAAGAAAGTCTGCTGATGATACTGAGTTTTGAAGGATGGTGAGAATAAGAGCTGACTATGAACAAATTAAAAAGGGATATAGATCAACCTGAAGAAGTTCACAGTGTATATGACAAATTATGAAATGGCTTATGTAGAATCTGAAAAAGGTTTACAAAATCATCGGGCCGTGCTGAGGGTGGGTATGGATAAGTGGTTTGTCTTCTATTCCAATGAAAGAAGGAAAAAACATCAAGGATGATGACAGAAGCAAATTAATATCCAAATCTTGTGGTTTCCTTTTTTTTAATCTTTAATCGTGTATCACAGGATATCTCATGAGTGAAAGTAACAGGATTTCACAGTTGGACTTTGCAAATACGAGGGTCAAGTATGTAGATTTTTCTTGTGCATTTTCTAATATTTCCACCATTGGAGGAGGGGAAAGCCATGTAACTACTCTTAATAATTATGTGTGAGTTGAAGTGAACTAAATCCTAGCAATAGCATACAGGAGATATCTAGAATACTGATCTAGCCTCTCCAGTGATAGCAACAAGATTAGTCCAAAGATATTTCATGGTAATCCATGCCCTAAGTCAGTGTAGTCTTAGACTCATTCCTGAAATATTGACATATTCATTTACAAGCACTAACACTTATTTTGTCTAATTTAAAGTTTGAGTACTTGGAAAGCAAACATAAGTCTATCATGTTATCAACCTCGCTTTAGGAAGAATTTGATCTTCAATATCAACCTTTAATATCCATACTCATGTTGATCTTCAACGACTTTCAAAAGAGACTTAGGATATGTTAATTAGAATGAGACTCTACTGCAGTATTTTCACTGCAACACAAAATTTCTAAGAAGTTTTCCTTTGTTCTGTGTCTGTCAGCTGGCTTCCCTGTTAATGTTCTGAAAGCATCATTATTACATTCTTTCTAACAACCTGATCCTCTGTGCAGATAGAATACACCCTTAAGGTTGCTGTTGATAAACTTTTACAATTTACCTGTCACTCCAGAAGTATATTTCACATTAACTGGATTATGAAATGAGCCATGAAAAAGGTTTTATATATCTATCAGAGGACAAAGGAATGAAAAAATATTTGTTTTGTTCTAAATACATAGTGTTTGTCGGAGTATAACAATGCTTTGACTTCTACTAGGAATTCAGTCCGTGATCTACATAGATTCCCCTTGGTGAAACGCTGTTAGAATTCAAGATGAAATTGTGAAGTGTTATCTTCCTGCAGGGAATTTCATAATTTTTAACTCTTTCCAGTATTAA